AAAAAAAAAAAAAAGAAAATTGATTTTACCTAAAATAGGCAAGCTTTAACATTCTTAATTATTTGTAAAACAGAGAAATTGCAGCAAGTTTAATATTTTTTTCCCTGCCAGATACTTAAAGTAATTTGGTTACTTCAAAAGTCAGGCAACAGTGTACAACCATAATGTTGAGTCAAGTGAAAATGACGTACAGAACCCAAAAGCCAGAGGACCAGCAAGCAAATACACAGGACTCTGATAACCTGGCCCACTGTTGGCCCTCATGTCTGCTGTAAGTGAGCTGAATTCTGACTGATTACCTTGGATGCTACGCATGGCAAGCACACTGGCAAGTAAAGCTGAGCTGCTGGGAAAGAAACAAAAGCCCGCTGTGGTTTTTAAAAAGTGCTATTAAAATTAACCAAAGCAAAGGAAACCTGAAGGTTTTGCTTGGTTGGTGGTGGCAGTTGGGGACTGACAAATCTTTTAGGGATCCAGTAAACCTGTACACCCAGGCAGGCAGCTTACTTGTTAAGCATTCCTGTCCACAGCTATGTTCTCAGGATAGTGGAGTGCTTAAGTCATGGACAAAAAAAGCCTTGTGCACCTGCTGCGTCAGGCCTAGACGACCGAGTGAATTAGAGCTCTAGGTCCTCGCTTTGAGTCACGCACTAAAGGGAAGCAGGACTCAAAATACCAAATTTTACAACAGCCATGAGATAACATCTTTCCATATAAAATAAGTTAATTCTAATAACTACTTTGATTTTTCTATTTTCCTACTTGACTTTACAACCTATTTATACACATTTGCATAGGTAATTGTTACTGTAATACAGGGGTGATGTGACAATTTTCATACACCATTTTCATCATTTAGAGGCTTGGCAGGACTTTAAACATATTCTTTAACTTAGACTTCCTCTTTGCCAACACGGTAAACAAATATTAAGTGTCCTCATTATAGTCAGTTAAGTGCTTTTATGCAAGCAAAGGAACACGGTTACTAAGAATTACTTAGCATTTTCTATAAATCGATAGACTCGAGATTGTTTGAAAGAATACATCTTTTTCTTAGTTTTTGACTGTTAACTTAAAAGACAGGAAACTAAAAAGGTGCTCATATGTGCTGCCTAGCAGCTGGAGGTTACCTCATTAACGTTGATCTTTGACTTTGCAGAAGATTCTAAAAAGGCACAGTTACACCACTGTCTTGCTAAATTCTGACCCTGTTCTTTGCCAACTACTCGCTCATCTTCCAGGTCACATTTATTGCCAACCAAAATCATCGGAACCTGTGGGAAGGAAATGATATGCCATGAGCACTGACACATTTGTTACTGAGCCTCTTATAAAGCAATCAACTATCTGCCACCAATTGAAATGCATTAATAAAGCAATCAACTATCTGCCACCAATTGAAATGCATTAGTGAGGACTATCAACTTCACCAACTGCTTAAAAAAGGTACATGTATGTGTGCTGGGCGGGGAGAAGGTGGTTGGAGGGGAAGAGACAGAAAAAATATGGAAGAGGTCCTACTATGTTGATCTGCTAAATTATTTTAAGAATATGATTCCCAAATTCTCATGTGGGCTACTATGAATAGTTGGATTCCAAGTAGAAAAATCTGAAGGAAAAGGAACCTCTTGCAACACGGAGAGAAATGTACTCACTGGGCCTCATTGTGGTTTAACTGCTTCATCTCACAGGCCTAACAAATACCGAAAGTGCTGGCAAGACACACACAGTGACAGGTCCTACCCCTACATTTGACAGCTAGATCTGAAGACCAGTTTAGGTGAGATGTTAAGGAGGAAATAAAGCCACAAAGCAGCTATGTCTTCCCTTTTTCTCTGTACCAGAAATGCTCGGCTATGTCCACCCCTCCACCCCCAACACCTTTCCCCTCCTTCCAATAAAACAGGCTCCTATGAAATTGTACAACGTCCTTAGTTCAAAGGTGTCCAGAGAGCGAAGTCATTTGTGACGTGATGGGCACTACACAAAAGAAAGAATTTAAAGGACATGGTGGATCTTGTACCTAAAACAGGCAATTATCAGTTAGACAAAACATACTAGACACCTACAACTCCATGTTTTGTAGTTTATTACATGGGATAAAGAGATTAACACTATCAGGGTTCAGCGATTTGCATGTAATTGCCTATGAAAACAGAACTCTCTTAAGAGAAATCAGTCATGGGAAGGAAGAGAACTGTTGATTAGGTTACGGTTGGTCATGAGTCGTATGGTACAAATCTCTCCCGCCTACAGTATTATCCAAAGTTAGAGTCCTGAGCAGGTGCATACGTTCCAATTAATAATGAGAGAGAACACATGAAAACAGAAAAGAAAGGTACAAATGAAATTTTATATCCTAATTTACACCACTGAAAAGGAATTCTCTGTAGCTCAAAACTGAGGTGAGCATGTAAAATATACATTTCATCTTTGCAAAAAGGCACAATGCTAGTCATCAAATAAAACAAGAATTCTAAAACAAAAATAAAATTAAAAAATAGGGTTAACTACAATCTTTTAACATAATTTAAAAAACAGCAAGTAAAAACTATACCAATAGAATTTTAGAAATAGGAACGAATCATTATGGTCCTTTATAACGTTCTGTGAACACTGTTTCTGACATAAGTACCACCTCTCAAAGCTCAACCTGAGTCCCACTTCTTCAACTAAGTCTTCTTTGACTCTTTCCTCTGCTGCGCTTATTACCCGCATAGACAATCAGCACTTTATCATATATGTCGTCCTTTTCTAACCATCTCAGCATATAATTTGTAGGTAAATTTAGAAAGTTAAAGTATTTTTGGTCACAGAGGATCTTTCAGGCAGACAGATATCCTCTAAATACTCTACTGACAGAGAAAACATACTTTTTATTTGGCCACAGAGAAATGGCAGTATGTCTTAGAGAGAAAAATACTTACATCTTCTGTGTCCTTAACCCGTAAAATCTGTTCCCTCAGGTCCTGTAAGTCATTAAATGTGGACTGAGCTGTAATAGAATATACTAGTGCAAACCCTTGGCCATTCTTCATATACAAATCCCTCATTGCTGTGAATTGCTCCTGCAATAAAAAATATGCAATTATAAACATGGTTTCTTGAACATATACTGAAGCAACTTAAATCAGAATAATCACAAGTCAGTTACTGAGTTTTTATTCCATGCTATCGTGACAGTAAACATAAGACATGATACATGGTTTCTAGAAACTCTGAGGTGAATGCTGCCCACTTACATGACTAGACACAACGACAATAAACTGCAATTAGAAGGGAAATCTTAACCATCCTAATTTGCTTTTGTGTGATTTTGAAAAACTGGGTATAATTCCTTTTTACATACAGATCCTAAGTAAATTATTTTGATGCCACTAAAGACGACCTCCAGGGTAGTGTTGTTAGAAAAGAGAAGTCCAAGTTCTGGGGCTCTTCATCAGTAAGAGGTTGGTGAGATGAAGACTGATCTGGAAAGGAGACTTAGGAGTAACCAGTGACACAGGCAGAAAACCATGCAAGTTGCTGTTCTCTGGAAGCCACATGAATAACATTTTTACAGAGAAAGATAGCGACCAACTGAGTCAAAGGTTAATGAAAAGTCAAGGGAGCTGAGGATATATGCAGGGGATTGATCATAGTGACAGACCATGGACCTGAAGCCATTATATGAAGGATAATGAAAGATGTTAGGATAAATGGATGCAGGTTCCAGGGAAGCGGATAGGTATGAAAGGAAGTGAGGCAGGAAAATGAGTTGGTGAGTGGAGAGTAGGATGCTTAAGAATGAGATTAGGGTGGTAATATAGTTATTGGGGAAAGCAGTAGTAGCATCATCCGTACCTGAACACAAGGAGCAAAAACTCAACACACAGATTCTACAGGTGAACGCAACATACAATTTAATGGTGATGTGTGGGGATTAAGTACATCATAGATGGTTTCAAGAACATAAAAAAATTTAAGAAGCCCTACATTTAGAGAATTTACTCTTAATCAGAATAATTACTGTTACTAAGAGGAATTATTCAGATGACAAAACCTATTTACAAATTCAAATCTATCAAAAAGAGAGAAAACATCCTTACCGTTCCTGCAGTATCCAGGATTTCGAGCATACACTGTTGGCAATCTACTTCAACTTGCTGTTGGGGGGGGCAGGGGGAGGAGAATGAAAAGGTAAAATCAAAACATCAGTCTGTTTTCCTCCCACCTCTTCACTCAAAGTATCTATAATGACTACAAAGCTTTTCTTCAGCAGTTTGCTTGCTGTACTGGTCAAGATTTAACCTGGTACCACAATTAAGGACAGAAGGTCTCAGGCACGTTCTATTAATATTATAAAAGCCAGGACTGTTCATGCTGAGTTTTGCTATTTTCTGACCACCGTAAACTCTGAGTAATGATTTTTGTTATTATTAGAAGGGAAGTGGTCATGTGCTGTGGCTTAAGAAAAACTTCAACAAACAGGTATAGCCTGACAGAAAAAAATAAAGTATAAAATATGTATATTTATATTATCTTCAAAGAAAATAAAGCATAAACATATTAAAGAGCTAAAAATGTAGACAAAATTTTGGGGTAAAGGAAATTTTGCCAACTTACCATGTTCAACTTGTTAGAAGTTTTACTGAAATACGTCATATCCCAAATTTAATACACAGGAAAATTTTAAGAGATAAAAGGAACGCAGAAGTTCTAAAATGAGTAACACTGAACTCATAGTCCTTAAGACTTTAAGAAAAAGGCACTTCTTTGGAAAAGCTGCATGCATAAGGTGTAAGTTTACACACTGAATTCTATTTTCTTAGTGTTTTATAAAAGAAGAGAAAGTTGGCCTAAAGAAAGTACCAACTATTAACCATGTTGGGGAAAAGTGGGGACTTTTTGGGGACTAGGTAAAGCGCTCAGTCTTCAGCATTCTAGGTATAGATCTCCATTTGTGGTTAAAGCTTTAACCAGCAACTTACTTTTGGGAAATTTTAGTAATGCAACACTGTCTTCTAAAATTAACCTAAGGACTATTTTAAACTCTGCTTCGGGATCAGATCATGGATTGATGAGGGGCCCCAATGGCAGCCACGAACTCGCCGTCCCACCATTTACATGGCACTAATGCATCACCTGCCCAATCTGTAAATGGGCATGCTCACCGAATAATAAATTAGGCCTGTGGTTTCTCAGTGTATCCTGAGCACAATTTTGTATCCCACTTGCAGACAACAAAACTGCTCCTGCAATATGGCTTAAAGCGTGAACTTAATCTCGTTGTATTGGCCACTAGTCTTTCTTATCACAATGTCTTTCACCCCACCCCATAACACGTTTAGGAAATAAAATCATGAAATTTCTCCACAATTCTAGCTAGTCTTGTAAATTAAGTAAAATAGTATTTTTTGTTAAGACCAACTTTTTCCTTTTAAATAAGCTTTACTCTTCCGGAGCAGCTTTAGATCCACAGCAAAACTGAGCAGAAAGTAGGGTTCCCACACGCCCTTCTCCTGCCCCTCTAGCCTCCCTCGCTGTCAGCATGCCACCCAGGTGGAAGGCACATCTGTTGGGATCGACGAGCCTACACCAACCAACACATCATTATCATGTGAAGTACACAGCTGATGTCATGGCTCTGTTCTTGGTGCTGTACATTCAGCGGGTTGGGACAAATGCATAGTCACATGAAACCACTGTTATAGTATACAAAATCCAACAAGTAATTTCTTATAGTCTAAAGGTGAAATATCTTTAAAGTTATTATATAACTGAATATAAATAAAAACTTTCAGTCACTGGAAAACTTCAAGCATAAAAGTGATCTTAATTTTAGTTCACAAAAATTTCGCCAAAACTATACCTACTAATTATATGCAACTTTCTACATTAAAAATATTCCCTACCAGGAAAATTAAAGAACAAATTATTATCAGTAACAGAACACGTAGCTCTCTGCAGCTACGCAGTATTCTATGAGACATATTTTGTCTCGGTGAAACTTTTAAAAACAGATATTTCTCAAAACTATTTTTTAAGAAGCGATCCCATGGATCAAGTTTTAAAGTCATAAAGAACTGCCTATGAGCATGTGCACACAAGTTTCACACTTTACCTTTCTGTAGGAGTCTTCTATCGTTGGGTCATATTTTTCAACAAAAATTCCCTGAACAAACTGAACTGTCTAGAAAAAAAAAGGCAAAGAAAAGTTAAGGACTTAAAAGAAAAATCAAACCCTCTTCAATGCTATAATATTTAACCTCACAATGTGGTAAAGATTAAATGAAATAATGTGAAAATTCTGGGTAAGCATGCAAATATAAAGTATCATTATTTTTCAATAAGGACACACCCATAACTGAGAGTATACTTATTACAAAAGGAAGTGGTCATGTTAAAAACCGTCCGAGTGCTGCTGCTGACATTACACTGTTAAATAATCACGAAATGAAATTTTAAAATATAACAAAGATACAATTAAGGACAGAGATTCTAATTTATTGAAAAATGAAAATTATTAGTAACGATTACTCCGGTACATATCTACAGTAACTTTTATAACTCCTGCCCTCAAAGGACACAGACAAGAGGTTTCAAGGCTTTAAAAATTTAGAAGTAGTTTCTTGTAAAATTTATAGAATTTATGAAACTTATAATCACATTCCACTGTCATGTTCACCACAGAAGTAGTTGTTGTTCCCATTTGCCAGCCGAGATACCAATGCACACTTTCTTCCTGATTCTAAAGCCTTATTTACTCTCTTCATTGGAAACTGCTGCCTACTAATCTTTTTCAGATTGTCTACTTTTATCTCTAGGATTTCTGTAAGCACAAACCAGAAACTAAGCATTTATCATTTGGTAAATGAAAAGAAGTACAGAAGATGATTCTGACATATTTCCTGGACAGGTTTAAAACAGGGTCTGGCCCCTTGTTGCTTAAATGCAAGGGTAAGAATGTGGACTGCTGTCAAGGGGGCTGAGGTCATTTACACTTCAGGTTACCCAGAGGCGTATTTTATACATGATTTTAGCTTGAGTTAAACAGATTAACTTGAATGCAGTAAACTTCTAACTTCTCTCTCCTGTTAAACTCTTATTCTTTAAAGGAAACTCAGGATTATAATCACACACCAAAACTTTATTTTTATCAAAGATTTAATTGCCTCATCTTAGCACTACATATAGTTATGAAAAACTTCCTAATATGCTTCATACTAGAACAGAGGTTCTCATTGGGTTTAGGGGAGTGATTTAGGATAAAAACTATTTTCCTAATAATACTATGATGCATTTGCTCATAAATTTACAATGCAATTTTCCAAATGGTATATATAACACATGCTACAGCAAGAAACTGGATTCAGAAGCACATATGAGAACTCAAATGCTTTCTATAAGCCAGTTGTTAAAGAGACCTGCAAAAATGAGAAACAATACCACACTTCACACTTCTTTCTTATTAAAAGCAATCTTTCATTACTTCTCTGAATCTCATCCTCTCTGGACACTTCACTCATTCACACAGACTTTTACTGGGTTGTCGGAAAAGTCATGGCGTATTTTTGCAACGAAAAACAGAAAAAATACGTCATGACTTTTCCTACAACCCAGTATTTTACTCCTTTCGTTTTCCTACTGAATCCCCTTCTTCCTTCCTCACCTACTGTCTTTTCTTTAACAATTATTCTCTCCCTCTCCTATATCTTTTCCTCTCCACTGGATTACTGCCTCCAGCATACAAACATGCTCTACTATGTCCCACCCTAAAACAAAAAACTCCCATAACTCCATGATCCCTCCAGCTTCTGCCCCCTTACTCTGTTCCCTCTCATAATCAAACTTCAATGGGCTACAATGGTGGTTCCATTTCCTTAGCTCTCATTTACTCTTCAACCCACCCCATGATGGTTATGGCACCATAACCTTACTGAAGCTGCTTTTAGCAAGTCCAGCTAGCTACCGTATTTCCCCAGGTATAAGACGCACCTTAATTTTGGGGCCCGAAATTTGAAGAAAAATGTATTACATAAAGTTATTGAACTCAAGTTGTATTCATCATAAAATTCATACAACTCCTCATCACTGTCAAAACTCCCAACCATTAGCTTGTCCTCATCTATATCTGATGACAAATCACTGTCTTCATATATTGCCTCATTCTCAGCGGGAAATGCAAGTAAAAAAATCTACAACCACTGTATAAGACGCACCCAGTTTTTAGACCCCAAATTTTCCGAAAAGGGGTGTGTCTTATTCATGGGGAAATATGGTACCTCCATGTTCCCATATCATCCTTTTCCTCTTTACGTAACTATCAAGTAAAGACATTCTTTACATTCCAGTACAAAACATATTCTTCTATGCTGGATCCTTTAATCCCACCCACTTTTAAAAGGTTGGGAGGTACTCAGAACTCAGTCCTGAGTTCTTCTCTTCTTTCTCCAATCTCTCTCTAAACAATCTCATTTATTCCTATGGGTTTTTATTTTTAATTATTGTATTTGTTTTTGACAAGGTAATTCATAGGACACAGGACAAAATACAAAAGACACAAGAGTATGCAGTGGTAACCCTACCTACCACCATTGTTCCCAGCTGCCCAATTCCACTTCCAAGGAAGTAACTGTTATCTGCAGCTTATTGAACCTTGCAGAGATAGTCTGCATTTTGTAACATTCCCCTCTTTTATAAAAGGCAAGTGGTAGCACACTCTGTTTGGTGCCGTTACCTTCTAAATAATACACCTCGGATATCATTATATATCTATACATGTAGGGCTGCTGCGCTCTTTTTAATGGTTATATTGTAGTCTACTCAAAATGAAAAACTTAGTTGGGTGGGCCGAGTGGCGCATTGGTTAGGAGTTGGCTTGGGATGCCAGCTCTGAGCAGCAGGGCCCCAGTTCCGATCCGAAATGAGGGCCAGTGATGCTGTGCCCTCTACAGCTAAGATGGTGAAAAACAGCTCGACCTGGAGCTGGGCTGCCGTGAGTGGCCAGCAGCCGGCATGACCGGCATTACAATGGCCGGCAAGCGACTACCTCACCTGAGAAGAGCACAATGATAATACCAACATGGGCCAGTGAAGCGACGTCCTCCACAACTAGACTGAAGAACAAAAGAGGACAGCAACTTGTCTGTTCCCCTCCCCCAATTCCCCAATAAAATCTTAAAAAAAAACCCCACCTTAGTTAACTAGCCCCTACTGGTAGACATTTAGGTTGTTTCAAAACTCTTGCCATTGTAAGGAATGTTACAATGGATATCCTTGACCATGTCATTTTGTACATGTGAATTCTGTGTGGGATCAATTTCCAGAAAGGACTTGCTGAAGTAAACATTACATGCATTTAAAATGACAGATTTCAGGACCGGGCGAGTGGCTCAGTTGGTTAAGAGTTTGCTCAAGAGTGCACGCTCTGAGCAATAGCAGTTGGATTCCCAGCCTGAGCTGAGTTGCCGCTGAGCCACCAACAGGTGGCAGGATGGCTCAGCTAAAAAAAAAAAAAAAAAAAGACAGATTTTCTCAAATATTCACCACAGAGGTACTAATTTACACCCCAAAGGAAATGTAATTCTCATGAAATTAAATACTATCGCTATACCCATGGCACCCTAAATCATGTCACAAGTTTCTCTTTAAGCCATTATCTTGAGGACCCTATTGTTTACTTGATGTATTTGCTTGAATATTGCACAAATATCAGATTTGACCAGACTCTTGACTTTTACTCTCACATCCACTCACTCCCAGGTGTTTCCCTTCCAGCCATAAAATCAGTTCAGTTAGAAACTTGGGAGTTGTCCTTGACAGCTCCTTCTCTCCTAGTCCGCACATCAATCCAGCACTATGTTAGGCCAGTTCTACCTCCTACTTCATTCTCAAAACATCTACTTTTCTCTTCTTCGCTGCCATGGCCCTAATATAAGCAATAACCTGGTGTACTGCATTAACTCCCAACGTGGCCCCCACATCTACTGTTTCTCATCTAAATTACTCTACACAGCAAAGTGCTCTCTTTAAAACATGTAACTAATTCTGACCCCTTTCACCCCTCCAACCCTACCTTCAATGGCTTCTCATAGTCATTAGGAATAATTCCAAGCTCTTATGTGATCTTCATGTCATGATCTGGCTCCTGTCAGCTTCTCACCTCATTTCCCCCACTTGCTCCTTTCTTCACTCCTGCCTCAGCCACTGTGACCTTTCTCTTAGTTGTTTAAATGATAATTTACATTCACTTGTCATAGGAACCGCTCTTAATAATCTGTACTTTTCTTTCAAAGTATCTCTCTCATAATTATAATCAAGTAGTTCCTTGTTTAACTGTGTATTTATCACATCCCCTCCACAATAATGTAAGCTCTATAAGGGACAATGATGTTTTTTGTTCACTATGATGGTTGTAATCCTAGAGTCTGACATTGTAGAAGCTTAATAAATATTTACTAAATAAATACAGCACATAGTTGTAATCATCAGTCTCTCCCACTGGAATGTTAAGTTTCTTAAAGATGAGAACAATCTTATTCCTCTTGAATCACGAACACTAGTGATTGATATACAGTCGGTAGCCAATAAAAATTTGGTAAGTGAAAGAATGAATGAGCCACCATTATAAAACTACACATTCGTGGTTACTGAATGAATCCCGTCACCTCTGGGCCCGATATTAGGCATATAAAAAATACTGCCACCTTTTCTCTTTAGTGACTAGAAGTTTCAAAGCAAGAAAACATCATCAATGTTCTTCTTGTACTATCCTAATTAGTTATAGTTAGGTGGCTAACTTACCAGAGCAGACTTCCCCACGCCTCCTGAACCAAGGACCACTAGCTTGTACTCACGCATGATGTGGTCTGTTTAAATACTGACAATCTGAAAAAAATAAAAAATTGATAAGTATGCTAAGATTAGCCTAGGAATGTACAATGTTACATGAAATAATAAAAGATTTCGTTTTTTATTTGCTTTTTCCCTTAAGACTATAAAGGGGAAGACAGGGGCTACACAGCAAAACCATGCACATTTTAACATAAGTTTATAGGACAGCTGCAAAGCATTTTAATTCATTAAAGATCGTCTTTCTTTTTAAAAAAAAAGATTTTATTGGGGACTCGGGGAAGGGGAACAGACAAGTTGCTGCCCTTTTGTTCTTCAGTCTAGTTGTGGAGGATGTCGCTTCACTGGCCCATGTTGGTATTATCACTGCGCTCTTCCCGGGTGAGGCAGTTGCTCGCCGGCCATTGGACGGCCGCTCACAGCAGCCCAGCTCCAGGTGGAGCTGTTGTTCACCATCTTAGCTGTAGAGGGCGCAGTGTCACTGGCCCTCGACTGGGATCCAAACTGGGGTCCTGCGGCTCAGAGCTGGCGTCCCAAGCCAACTCTTAACCAACGTGCCACTCGGCCGGCCCAAAGATCATCTTTGACTAGCATCAATCAGCCTGTTCATGTTACTTCTAAGGCTGTTTGATCAGAAAATAAGATGATTAAAACTAGTAGTTATAACTACAATCATCAACCCAATTATTTATGAAGCTATTATTTAAACGATGTATGTACTTTTCTGAAAAGTTCATTGATAAGCTATAATATTATGTACATGCTATTTGCTTAAAATATCATATAGTAATTCTATACTATTTTGTTCATTATTGTACTAGAGCTGAACCATGTAAAACGTTACCTCAAAAATTATTAGGATATGAATGGACAATTATGGATAAAATTGTTAAAACTCTATAGGTAGGTATTAGTAATATACTCTATAAGACCGAAATTGCTAGAGAGGAAAAAAAGTGAATATAAACTTTACTTTGTAACTCCACGATTATTTTTAAAAGTAAAAGGGCAGGAAAGAATTCCCAAAGGCTATGATGGAATAAGTAGGAATGAACTTTCCATCCCACAGTAACAGCTACAACAGCAATCAAAATACAGTAAAACCTTGAATTGCGAGTAACTTGGTTTGCGAGTGTTCCACAAGATGAGCAAACATTTCTAATACATTTTAACGTGGTAAACGAGCAATGTCTTGCAATACAAGTAGTTTGTTTCCAGAACGAATTATGCTTGCAAACCAAGGTATTACGGTATATGAAAACAACTGTTTTCAGACATTGGACAATAAGACGTATAGGACTGTGACCTCTGACAGGTGGAGAGGAAATGAACTGAGACCTACAACTGCCCTGGCTTTATGCTTGAAGGCACTTTCCAGACTGTGGCACAGGGAGGAGAAACTCAAACAGGCCCAGAAGCATACCAGAGAAGAGGGAATTATGCACAGAAAATTCCAGAAATTTGCACAGGGGTCCACTTGAATCTGGCCAATCATTAAGCTAGGTATGCAGGATGAAACTCCATGAATTAAGGCAAAGAATAAATAGGGATCTACACACTGAACAATTCCCAGAGTGCTAGGAAATATTGGTGTTCTGACCACAAAAGTCCTCTTTGTTGAAAAACAGGCAATTAATTCACTTGAAACTCCAGGAGATTCATACTTGAATAGCAGAGGTAAACATGCCCTAGAGTAAAAGATATTCTAGATGCTTCCTAACAAGGCTTAAAAACAAGCATCAAAAGGATAGAGCCAATCCACAGGTAATTCAACTGCTTGTCAAAACAAAACTCAAAATTCTTTAAAAGCAAAATAAATCTATCATTCATCAATGTGAAATTTACAATGTCCATAGCATCCAATAAAAATTAGCAGACATGGGCTGGCCAAGTGGCTTGTTGGTTAAGAGTTGGCTTGGGAATGCGAGCTCTGCGTAGCAGGGCCGTCGGTTAGGATCCAACATGGGCCAGTGACGCTGCACCCTCTACAGCTAAGATGGTGAACAACAGCTCGACCTGGAGCTGGACTGCCGTGAAACGATGGCGACAGCATAGGCTAAAATGGGGTTGCAGTGGGCTGCCGTGAGCTACGTGAGTGGCTGGCAACTGGCGTGAGCTGCCGTAAGCTGCTGTGAGTGGCTGTCCAATGGCCAGCGACTGATCTGCCTCAGCTGGGAAGAGCACAATGATCACAATACCAACATGGGCCAGTGAAGCAACGTCCTCCACAACCAGACTGAAGAACAAAAGGACTGCAACTTGTCTATTCCCTGTCCCCGATTCCCCAATGCTGTTCCCCTCCCCCAATTCCCCAATAAAAAAATCTAAAAAAAAAATACACTAGGCAAAACAAGCCAGACACAAAAGAATGAACACTGTATGATCTCACTTACATAATACTCTAGAAAAAACAAACTAAGTTACAGTGCAGGAAGCTGCTTGGGACCAGTGGTGGTAGGGTAGGGGTGATGACTACAAAGGAGCATAAGGGAACTTTTTAGGGTGATGAAAATCACCTGTACTTTTGATTGTGCTGGTTGTTACATGGGTGTATATATTTATCAAAACTTATTGAACTGTACATTTAAAATAGGTGCATTTTATTACATGTAAATTATAGCTAAACAGAATTTAAGAAATTCTGTGGTGAAAAAGGGGGAATTTCTCAGATTACCAATTACATACATGATGCTATGAACTGAATGTGTCCCCCACCAATTCTTATGCTGAATCCCTTCCCCTAATTCAATAGTATGAAGAGGTAATTACCTTTGGGAGGTAATTAGTATTAGATGATGTCATAAGGGCAGAGCCCTCCTGAATGGAATTAGTGCCCATATAAGAGACCCAAGAGATTGCTTCTCTCTACTTTCATGTGATGATACAAGATAGCCATCTACAAGCCAGGAAGCAGGCTCTCACTAGATGCCTGATCTGATAGTGCCTTGATCTTGGACTTCCCAGCCTTCAGAACTGTGAAAAATAAACTTGTTTAAGCCACCCAGTCTGTGGTAATTTGTTATAGCAGCCCAGACTAAGAAGCATATTAAGGATAAATTAGTACACTATATAACACATGATGGCAAGTGTGATTGTTTTTCTGAATCAAACATTAGCAAAGCATCTCCCGGGTGCCAGTTCCATACGAGGTGCCAGGGACGCAAAAATGAAAGTATATGTTTTCCATCCTCAAGTAGCTCCTAGAGGAATTAAAAACAAATAACTACCATATGATGTGAAGTTACTACAGAGAAAATGAAAAGGTTGGGGAGGGATGGAGGAACAGGGGAGAGAGAGCGCAGGAAAGTTTTTCACTGCAAGTTACGTAATAGCTAAATGAAAAGCTGAATAGGAATGTTCCAGGTATGTAGGGAAGGGCATTCTAAGCAGAGGAAACAGCTTGACCAAATACTCTATATTCCATGAGTAGAGAAGATCCAGGAAATACCACATAGCTCAGTGTGGCTAGAACACAGGGTTTAAAAAAGCTACGGAAAATGAGGCTGGGCATGGAGACTGGGTTATGCTTGCAAAGGCATTTGCCATGTTAAAGGCCTCACATTTTACCTAGTAAGCAGCGGGGAGAAGAAAACAGTAATATAGTTAGCTATATAGTCTGGAAAGATAACTAACAGTCTATATAATGGACTGAAGGAGAGAGAGGTGGAGGCAGGGAGAACAGTCAGGAAGCTACTGCAATGGCTCAGGCCTGTACAGCAGGACTAGGCTGAAGAGAGGACAGTGGTTTCCCAAAGTAAAACTGGGAGGACTCCATAGCTGAGTAGAGGCTATAATTATGAAGAATGAAGAAGAGTTGAGGATAAGTCCTAGATATCTAGCTTGGACAAATTAGGTGGCTGGTAGCATACCTCTCATTAAGACAGGAAATACAAAAAGAGGTTTAAAAAGAAAGTTAATACTTTCTTTTTATCAACTTTGAGAGTCCTATGGGAAAGCAGGTAAAGACATCTGACATATATTTAAAACTTCAAGTCTGGATGCTCAGTAGAAACCAGTGGGCTAGAGGCATAGACTTGGGTATTGTTCTAAAGATGGTAGCAGTTGAAACCACAGCAGGTGAGATCACCAAGGAGCATACATTGGTGAAAACAGAAGAAAGCTAAGGATTGAGCCCCGAGAAACCACCACAGTTTACTATATAGATGGACAGGAGACCTGAGGAAAAAGTGAGGTGGGAGAGGTTTGTGCTGGACACTAGTCATTTTATACCTCTATCAGTGTCAAGAGGTTCTCTCATTTCTATGGGGAAAAAAATACTGTTAAACACAAAAGCATGTATCTCACCCAGACAGATCCTCATATCCTAACTCGCTTTCCAGGCCCCAAGTGATTCTTAGTCTGGGGACTGCTGTCATTTTAACAAGATGTGAATTCATCATTTCTCTAATCCAAAAATGTGTATCTTTTAAGAGGGAATTCTAATATAGCAAGGCTCATTTATACCCCAAAGTGCCTCCTAGGGCAGTAGGATTTGGAGAAAGCACTCAGACATGGCCAAATTATTCTGGATATTCTGCAACAATAAAATATTTAGCCCCTGTCCCTCAACTCAAGTGGTAAGATATTCAAGTTCCAAAGCCATTTTTGTATGTGTGTATAGAAAATGCTATGTCTTATGAATGGAAACCCATATGCACACATGAAAATACACGAGTGATATAGCTCAGATAAAACACACACACACACACACACACACACACACACACACACACTTTCACAATCTAGTTTAAAAAACTAAAAACATTTTACATGGAAAAAAGAGAAAACACACATACCCGATAAAGAATAATGTGGATTAATATTTCCTTTTTAAAAGGGTTAGTGCTAACTCATTACTGCCAAGTTAGAAAACCACTATGTTCTTCCGAGCAAATCCCATGCCTTTTTATGGAAATCTCTTGTGCCCTGCACTCCCAACACAGCACCAGAAAATGTCTCCCTCTGGTTAAGATTTCCTGACAAATAAGGAGTACGAGAATAAACATCATGCTATGTTTAAATTTTAAGTCAATCCT